ACGGCTGTATAATGGCCGATCAAAGCCGACCAAAGTTCTGGTCAAAAGTGGTCAACAGATGCTCAACCATTTTACACAATTATCAGCATTTTCAAAATATTTTCCAAAATATCACCATTTTAAAAATAATTACCAAAATATCACCTTTGACAAAATAATTACCAAAATATCACTTCTTTAAAAAAATTACAAAAATATCACCATTTTCAAAATAGTTGCCAGAATACCACCATTTTCAAAATAATTACTAAAATATCACCCGGTCAACGGTCAACGGTCAACGGGTCTGGTCGGGTTGGAACCGGTCAAACCGGTCATTTTGTTCTTCCCCACGCGCAGTGGCGGCACGTGAGAGCTCCTCTGGCAGCGTACAATTCACGGGAAAATTCCTAAAAATTATTTTGAGCGATTTCGATATACTTACAAAGCCCGGTTCAAATTTTTGAATGGCGGAGAGCTCGATTTCAACAAATCGGAAACTTTGGCCGCTTTACCTCTTCACGCGCCGCCATCGACGAAGACCAAGGATGACACCGGTGGACTCAAAACGGCACAATGAACACGATGGTGCGGGAGGTGTCGAAAACGGAGCAACGATCGGCGACGAATTTAAGATTTTCTCGTCGATGGAGCTAAAAAAATGTCGAGACTTTGACTTGAAATTCCCGACGTTTGGCAGCGTTTCACTTCAATTAATTTAAGGGATTTGTTCCTCGCTCGATGATGAACACGATGGTGTTTTCAAAACAACGATCGGAGGTCGGACGGCGTCGGGATTGTGGTTGGAAGTTGAGATGCGTGGGGGTTAAAAACTTAGCAAATTGTTCTGGTATGAAACCAGAATCAATTTGCACGCATATAAGAAAACAAAATCTGCCGACACTCCTTGGAAATATTCAGTGATTGGTCACTGAATTTCCTTCACTTTTTAAAACATGCTACAAGTTTTAAAAACTTCCAATTAAATCTTCAAATTTCGCCAATTTACTTAATTAAATATTTTTTTTCTTCAAATTTTCGGGTTGTTACAACAATATTTAAATTCAATTTAGTGATTATAAATAAAATTTATAATATAAGAAATATAAATAATATAAAGAATTGGAATTAATATTAAAACCAAATTTATAATATACAAATTATAATTAATATAAAAACTAAATTTCAAAAAGTAATCATATTAATTTAATTATCATAAGTTTATTATAAATTTAATTATCATAAGTTTATTATAAATTTAAAATAACATAATTATATTAATTGTAACTTTACTTATAAGTCAGGATAATATCAAATCACTTTAACAACATGTTGGATCATTTACATGTTGAGTCAATTACATGTCAGGTTCATAATAGGTCAGGTAATACCAGTTATTTATCAGGTCAATCTCGGGTTCGATTTCATATCAGTCGGAGGCAGTTCGGGTTCGGGTATCATATTTTCAGTTCAATTCGGGTTCATGTCGTTCTCAAGTCGGATATAGGTCGGGTTCAGATCCACAATTTCCAGGTCCAACTCGGGTTCATGTCAACACCAGTTCCGAATCGAGTCGGTTTCGGATCGCCGTAATGCATGTCAAAAACAGTTTTGACTCGAGTCGATTTCAGTCAGTTTTACAGGCCGTGTCAGCTTTTTATACCCCTAGTTTTGGCTTCAAGCGGAGGCTCCACGTGCTCAAGACTTTGGTTAAGGGGTGCCAATTGCTTGTGGATTGAGGGGTTTGCACAACCTTGAAGTTATAAGGTTTAAACGAACACGGGTTAGGAGGTGGAGAATTTCAGGCGACCACCATGGTTACAACGCTGCTCAGATAATCGAACTATGAAGCGGGCAAGAGAGACCAAGGCAGCAGCGGCAACATTCGATCCAAACGATGATAACATGAGTGGGGTTAAGTGAGGGCCGAATCACATACGACGACTACAAAACTTTGGTGCGACGATGGAGCATTGACGGCAGCAATGAAACCTCATTTACCCTTTTTTTCCCCTTCCACGATTATACAAAGAAAACCCTCTCTTTCTTTTAGCAATTTTTTTTCCTTTATTTGTTTTCTGATTTGTTTTGGAAGTTATCAAACCTTTGAAATCCTAATTAAAGGAAGAAAGTGTAAAACCCTTAAAACGGCAGAAAGAGAGACGAATTGATTTTTTTATATATTTAGGTAGGAGTCAACCCAACATTTATGTTTAGATTGTAAAATATTTTATTTACCTTCTTTTAAATAATGAAAATAAATAAATAAATCGTAGATTATAGTTAATTTAAGATTTAAAAATAAAAATAATCTTATTTTTTTATATTTTTAAATTAAATTAATTTTTCATTATTATTTTTAAATGATTATATATGAATTATATTAAAATGTTTCAATTTTTTAATTTTTTTATATTTTTATTTCTTTCAATATTTATTATTATTTTATAATTTTTATAATAGTTTAAAATTGTGATTTTAATATTTTTTATTATTTAAATCATATTTAAAAACACATTTGTAATAATACTTTGAATTAATCATGTAACCAAAATGTAAAAAATTTGTGAGTAATAAAATTTTCCACCATTTTTCATTAATTATTGATGTCAAATATTAAGTGACACAATCTCATGATATTTTAAAAAAATGCCATATGAAATATAAGAGATATAATAATAAATGATAGATAATAGTTTTCGTCATATTAAATCATTTTTGTGACACAAATCAAATATCACCTTTTTATGTTTTCTAAAAAATGATGAATTAAATTGTCACAAATAAAAATTGTTGATGACGAGCCTGTAATGTCACTAATTAACATTAAATCGTCACAATAATAATTCTTCACTAATACTTTCATTGTATCAGTGATGACTTTACACAATGTCAATATTTTATCTAAACATTTTCGGCGAGAAGATCGATCCGACATATTCGGAAAACAAAAGGTTTTATGAAAAGATGGGAGTCGCTATCACTCATTTTTAAGGTGAGATTGGAACACCTAAAATCAAGTAAATTTAATAAAATAATTTTATTTTTATAAAAAAATACCACATTTGCTCTGCGAAATCAGAAATCGGGTTTGAGAGTCAGTTACGCATAGGGAAAGATTAACACCCCACAACACCCAAATATTTTACCTAGTCAATTACCAAATTTTAAAATTGGAAATTTTGAGTTCGGAATTTCATTTTTTTTTAAAAAAAATATCAATATGTATGCATTTTTTTAAAAAAGGATGCCCATTTACCAAGATCAATTACGATTTCCCCAAGCAAAAAAAGAAGCTTCATTACAAATCCCAATAAATGAACATTGCCTTAATGATTTAGAAATCATGATGTGTGATTTTGAAAAGGATGTTGATTTACTTCGGGAATCAATAGCTGTCACCCCCGGGAAAATGCGGAAGATACACTACTAACTCCCTAATAAATGGACATTGCCTTATTTTGAAAACGTAATGCAATCAAACAGTCGGTTATTGAACTTAATTATATTAAATGAATTAATTAAAGACTTCCCTCTAACTTAAAGGAGCAAATTTTGAAATTAAATAACATAGAGGATTAAATCTGAAAATGTAGACTCTAATATTAATCCAAATCATTTTTAATAAATTATTGAAACAAATAATTAAAATGAAACCTCGAGCAAAAGTGAGGACCAAATTTAAAATTTGCCAAAATTAAAGGGACTAAGTTTGAAATTAAGCCTAAAATGAAGGATCTAATATTAATCCTAATTAATTTTAATCAATTATGATTCGAATAATTAAAATGGAATGTCGAACAAAAGCGAGGACCAAATAAAAAATTCTCCTAAATTAAAAGGATTAAATTTGAAATTAGGCCTAAAGTGAAGGCTCTAATTATTAACCTAGTAAATTTTAACCAATAATTGATTCGAATAATTAAAATAGAATCTCGAGCAAAAATGAGGACCAAATTAAAAATTCTCCTAAGTCAAAGGACTAAACCTAAAGAGAATAATCTAGAATTAAGACCAAAGTACTGTAAATATAAATCTAAAGGTTTTATTTAAAATCTAAAATTCTAGGACTAAATTTAAAGAAATTGAAATTAAAAACAAAATTAAAAGCAATTAATAAATATAAAGGGACTAAATTAAAATAAATTAAAATGCAAAGTTGAAATTAAAATTCATCAAAAAAGGGCCAAAATAAAAGAAAACAGAAATTAAAGCTCAAATTAAGAAATTTCAGAAAATTAGAGTTTAAAGGACTAAAATATAAATGCTGAAAAGTAAAGGCATAGATTAAAATAACATAAATTTAAAGGGAAAAAATGTAAATAACAAAAATAAATCAATTGAATAAAATTAGAAGCTAAGGGTTAATTTTTAATTGTTACCTAAACCATAAATAACGCGAATCATACCCCAAGGCGAGTCATCTTGAGGTCGTAAAATGATTCGAATATATTTTTTTATAAGTTAGAAGTTAGTAGTTAGCGGTTAAATCAAAATTTTACCGAGACTACAAATAACGCGAATTATACCCTAAGGTGGGTCATTGCGGGGTTGTATTGATATTTAATATCAAATATAAATAACAAGGACTAAAATGTAATTAAATGCAAAAACATCATCCAATTCAAAAATAAATGGAATAAATTAAAAAGGGTGACTAAATCACAATAAGATAAAACATAGAGCTAACATCAGAATAAAACGAAAAGAGCATTCAATGACCAAATCGAAGCAATCATAAAACAGATAATTGAAATTGATGAAATATAAACTGAGGAGACCAGAATAAAAAATAAAAAAGTGAGCAGATTGTAAATAAACAGTGGCCAAAATAAAAGAAATGCAAGATCCACGTCAGATTCATAATAAATTAAAAAAAGAAAAGCAATCGAGGGACCAAAATGAAAGAATACGCCTAAATTATAATGGCCTAGACAGAAATATCCCAAAAATGCTAGATATAACCTATACTACCTAATCTAACCTAAAACTAAAACTAAACTAAACATATAACACTCATCTCTTCCCTTTCTTCCTATGCGTGCGGACGCTCAAAGAAAACCCCAAGGACACAAGACCATCGCCGCGCTTGGTGGCCACTCCTGCTCCGAACTGCACCGTCGGAGGCTCAGGTACACCCTAATGGAACCCAAACGTAAAGCTCCTCTCCTCGCCCCTCTCGTCTCCTTCAACCGAACCCCCAAACGCCATACATGGGATACGTTCCTCCATCCGACCACCGTCCATGGTGGTCGGGTCTGCTACAACTCACCTACAAACGAAAAGAAAAAGAGAACTTCCCCCTTTTTTGATCTAAACCTAAAAAAAACCTCCCAAAAGAGAAATAAACCCCCAAACGACCCAAAGACTCTCGGCCAAACACTTTCCGACGACGACGCACTCTCCTCTGGCGAGAAACGACGAACCAGGTAAGCAAACCCCCCTTTTGATTCTATTTAAGCTTCGAAAGAACGAAAAAAAGCTTCTTCAAAGGTTTCAATACCTCTAAAATGTTTGGTATATTGCTTTGGAAAATGTTCTCTTTTTTTGGTATTGTTATTGTTTTCTTTCGAATGGGGAGAAAAAAGTGTTACAATCTTCTCTCTGTGGAGAAAGAAGAGAAAATCGGGGGAAAGCAATCGGCCCCTTTTACTTTCTGATTTCTCCCTTTTTATAACCCCCATATTAGAGCAAAAAATCTACATCTTGTTTTGTTTCCTTTGTATGTTGATTTGGTGCTGACTGGAGCGTAGGGTCTCGATGGAGCTGCTCATGTGGCCACGAGATGTTGTCGTTGAAGGAGAGCCATCGTTGGGGGGCCTCTGCGTGAAAGGGGGGACCACATTGCTGCTTGGAGACTGATGTGGCGTGTGCTTCACGTGGGAGCCTGCTGGGGCTATTGGAGGCCTGTTGCATGCGTGGGATAAGCTGCTGGATGTGAGGAGGGGCAGGACAGACCACTGGCGCGTGACTCGGGTGTGCCAACGTGGAAGAAGAGAGCTTGGCGGCGACTGTCCTTTTCTTAGGGTTGCTGATAACCCCAAAATATGTTTTGGGCCTTGGTTGGTGGGCTCAGAGTTTGTAATGGGTCAATGGGCTAAGTGGCTGAATGGTCTGTTTGTAAATGTGTTAGAATGATGGGTTTTATTTAGAAATGAAATTGAGTTTGTAAATGGATTACTTTGATATAATGGGTTAATTTAATTTGTAAATGGACATTTAATTTGGAATGAGTTTAATCATTTGGGTATTTGGTTTAACTTAGGCTTTATATCTATGAGGAATATGTATGGTTTCAAGCCCAACTAAGCCTAATTAAGTAAAGGTTTAAATTCATCATTCACAACTAAATTTCTTCCCGGCCCCCATCATATGCATACTTCCACGAATTACTTTTACCAGTGCCATCAAAGCCACTTGAATTAATTTGACCTTAATGCACAACATCTTTCAAATGGTCTTCGATCGTCTCTAATCCGATTTGAAATGTCCATATAAAATTAGGGTATTACAACCGTTATTCGTTAACTGTGACGAATACAAAAAATCACCATGTTTATAATATTGCATAAAAACCATTATTAAATGTTCCCTTAGAACCCTACATAAAGGCCCTTCGATGCCTTCCCATTTACACTTCTTATAACCCTAACTCTTTTGGTTTTGCCCCATTTTTCTATAGCACAGTCTCCTAGTGTACTCGTGTGCTCTCCAATTCTTTTATGATTGCTACTCTTGTTTCTGCCATGGCGTCATCATCTAGCACCGCTACCGGAACTGGCTCACCTTGAGATGCATGCAAGTTCCTGAGACGAAAATGTGCCTCCAACTGCGTTTTCGCTCCTTACTTTTACTCGGAACAAGGCCCTGCGAGGTTCGCGGCCATTCATAAAGTGTTTGGTGCTAGCAATGTGTCGAAATTATTGATGCATGTCCCGGCTCATGATCGTTGCGAGGCGGTCGTCACCGTTGCTTACGAAGCTGAAGCTAGGTTAAGAGATCCCGTTTATGGTTGCGTTGGTCCGATTTTTTCCTTGCAACATGTATGTTGTAATTTTAACACTTTTGTTAATACAGATTCGTATTCTAATATTGTATTGATTTTTTCATAGGTTGCATGGCTGCAAGCTCAATTAATGCAAGTGAAAGCTCAATTAGCACAAAATAACATAGAAGAAAATCAACGGCAAGGAAACCTTTGTGGTGTGAGTTCCATCCCAAATTATCATTCAAGCTATATGAACCCAATCTACCCACAAAGTTCACTTGAGTATGTTGAACTCAACAGTGATGATAGCATGAACCTTCAAGAAATACAAATCAGAGAAGAGTTCTGTAATTTCCAGGGTTTCCCTAAGAAGAATATATCATATAATAATGGTGATCTAGGTGAGCTTCAAGCACTTGCCCTTAGAATGACGAGGAACTAAACCGATATATCGTTTTTGGTTTTTTTTTGGCTTAATATTAAAATAAGTGGTCAAACTATACAAATTTTCTCATTTAGGTATCTAAATTACTTTTTGGTTAATTCAGGTGCATAACGTTTCTAACGTTACATTTTTAGGTGTTTGAACGAACACCACTATTAAATGACACGTGTAGCCAAATTTTTAAAAATTTTATTTAAATTTAAAAGCTTAAAATTATATTTTTAAAGAAAAAAACTCAATTTTATAAAACTACAAAAGAAAACTAAAAAACACCACCCTCAATTTCGATTCCTTTTTCACCGTCGGTCACCACCAACGCTGATAGTCGGCCGAACAACCAACTACGTGTGACCGAAAAACCACCCAACGACCAAAACCTATTACTTTCGCAATTGGTCGAACGCACAACGATGTTTAAATGTAAGATTTTGTGATTGTTGATTTTTGTCGCTATTGCCTATTTTCGTTGCAATTAGAGGTTGGATTATGAGGTTTCGGTTGTTGGGTGTTCGACCGATCACACGCCGTTTGAATTTTGACTAGTTGACGACCTTGGTGGCGGCTGATGGTGGTAAAGGGATTGAAATTAGGGTTTTAAAAAAAATTTGAGTTATTTTTTATAATTTCAGGAAAAAATGGTGGTTTAAAAAATATTTTTAAATGTTTTTTTTTTAAAAATAATAAATTTAAAATTTTATAAAAGTAACATGTGTTCAGACACCTAAAAATGTAACGTTGGAAATGTTAAGCACCTGAAATGACCGAAAAATAGTTTATACACCTAAATGAGAAAAATAATATAGTATAAGAACTTATTTTTATATTAAGCTTTTTTTCTTTCTCTCTTTTGAGTATGATTTTGATTTCATGTTTGATTATCCTTTTTCTCAACAATTATATATAGAGTGAGAGACAAAACCATTTATATTTTTTAAAGATTGTTAGAAGAATGAAAATAGATTATTGTTATTAATTGTAGAAAATAAAAAGTTTTTAACATTAAAAAATAAATAAATAGTCATCGTTTATTTCTACCTGTTCAATAATAATATATATAGTTTTCTTTTATAAATCTAAATAACGGTCACAATGAAATTTCCCAGTTGATGGTGATAGTTGAACGATAATATTGTGTGAAAATTCATATAGTTTACTGTTTTGTGAACTACAATAATAGAGCAACTTCAGTTTGAAAATTTTATGAACGAATTAAAATCCGAATTATACTGAAATGGGTTAAATTATAATTTGTTTTATATTAATTTAATTAATGTAAAATAAAATATAAAACCTTAAAGGATTAAATGAAATAAAATTAATTAAATCTATAATATATATACTATAACAAAATTGAACTTTACATATTTCATCGTTATTGTTTGAATAAGATTAAAATTTTAAAATATATTGAAATTTATATGTTTCTAAATTGTGATCCTCATTTTAAATTGATTCTTAAACTTTATTCTAATTTCATCCCAAAACTATCAATTTCATTTTAAACCAGTCCTTAAACTTTTGAAAATTTATATTTCATCCTCAAACTATGAACTTCATTCTAAATTAGTCCCCAAACTTTTGAATCTTTCAATGTTATCCCCAAGGGAAAGAAATACTAAGGTGGGTTGTCTCGCTAACGGAGTTCTAAGTCGAAATGAATACTCTAAACTTGGTGGTAAGGAAACAAGGTTTCTACCTTGTAAGGGTTACGCTTTTGTATGTGAGATGTCTGTATAATTCCATTTTCCTGCTAGTGGGCACTATTTTCCTCCAAATAAGATTAGAGAGGTTTTTAACGAGGTTCACAAATCAGGTTTAGGAGCTTTGCAATTCAATAAATAAATCATAATTTGCCGAGCAGAAAAAATGTTATCACCAAAGTCATCTAAATATGTAATTAGTTTCAAGCATAGTTTAACCTAATTTGTTTTTTCAAACACATAATAATATAACCTGGCTTAATGATTTTATTAACAAATGATGTGATTAGTATATACGTATAGTTTGGGATGAAATTGAAATATTCAAAACGTTTTGGGACCAATTTAGAATTAATGTCATAGTTTGATGATGAAAACAATTTGTTTAAAAGTTTGAGGATTAATTTAGAGTGATAGTCATAATTTAGGGATGAAATTGAAATATTTAAAAAATTAAGGACTAATTTAAAATAAGAGTTATAATTTAAAGACACATGATGCAATTAATTCTAAGAGTTATTAAAAAAATTGAACCGATTATGTAGGTTTATAATTCTTTCATTTACCTATCATTCTATCAAGACCCGTAATTGGTTACATATACACATACAAATTCGGAGGTAATGCAATATATACAAGATTTAAGACCGTTGGATAAGTGAAAATAGTTAGACAAGATTAACAATAGGAAATGAGAAAAAATTCAACTGGAAAAATAAACATGGAGTCAATTTTAGTCATTTATTTTCACTCATCCAACAATCCTAAATCTGTGTTAAATTAAAGAGTTTTACATTGCGTAAGTAAATCTTAACCCCATATATATATATATATATATATGTGTGTGTGTGTGTGTTTTAAATGCTCGTGTGTATATATATATATGTTTTAAATGTTTCAATCCCTAAACGGTTCATGAGTACCATCGTCAAGGCCCTGAAATCTCTTGGATATTTTGAGACAGCTTCGTCAAGCATTCGAAGATATCTCATTATGAGGTATCCTTATGATTACTTTAGCACTGATCCAGCGATGACGGTTTCTCTCGGGTATCTCCGTTAAGGCAACAAACTATGAGGGGTTTTGATGGTTCACCCTTTCTAATTTGAACTGAAAGTTACAAATTCATCTCACTGACTAACATCCCATCGATGACATCTCATCTTTTAGGTGTCTTCCATAAATTGTGGAGGAATCTCTCATAAACCATGTAGACATTCATAGTCATCTCTCATATACTTAAAAAGTATCAATATGATACATTAATTTACCCTTTCTAATTAGGTAGTGCCGAGACGTTTCTCTGCCCAACGACGGAGAGTGCAAATAGTATACCCCAAACGGTGTAACTAGTCTCGAAAAAGTAAGTGCTTATCCTCCTTGAATCAGATGAAACACCAAGTTGTAGAGTCGCCACCAATCTTTTAATTCGGTGAGATTGGTCACCAAAATGTCATATTATTTTAATAAAATTTCTAAGAATAATATTAAAATAATACAACTCGGGTCTACTTACCAGAAAAAATGAGTTCGGGAGTCGGTTACGTATGGGGAAGGATTAACACCCCCATAACACCCAAAATTGGTACCAATATTTATTAATTAGCGTCTTTGCGGTAAATTATAAATTTGCTTTCTAAATTTGAATTTACAAATAACTTAATATAAATAATTACGAAATAATATTTAATATAAATATTAGTAGTCCTATTATAATGTTTAATATCAAAACTATATAGATTAAATTAATATATTAAAGTATATTAATATTATAATTAATCTTATACTAATAAGTAATGATTAAAACATAAAATGGAAAATATTAAAATTAATTTACATAACCTAAACTATTATTAAATTTATGTACTGCTAAGGTAATTTACCCTAAATTATTTATACGAGGTATAAATATAAATAATTGAAATATGAAGGACTAAATATGTTATTTAACCTAATTATATATATATGCATAATAATGACTAAAAAGTAAATAAATAAAATGCAAAGACTAAATTTAAATGCACAAAACATGCTTTTAATGACCAAATTACAAAGTTACAAAATTACAAAGACTCGCATGTAGTTTCCCCATTCCTGAATTTATGCACATGTCCCTCCCCAAAATGACGCCATTCGGGGATGGGTATAAATGGTCCCAAACTGACCTAAAGAGGGATATTTCCCTCATTTCTCTCATTCGAGTTCTCTCTCTAAGAGAGAGAAGCTCTCAACCCTCTCTAGGATTCCCTCACCGGAGGGAATCCGACCACCGTCGGCCACCGTACGGCACCGACACCCACTGTCGGCCATCACTTACGATGGTCAAAAATTACCAAAATACATCAAAATGACCCCCTGTCCGTCCTAAAGCCGATTCCGACGACTGTTTCTTCTAAAAAACCTTAAACCAACGTAGATCTAAGAGTTATACCTTCAAAACTTGGCTTCTCCGGTGGCGCTTGAGATCTCCGACGATGGTAAGGCTTCCATCTCTTTCTCTCTATTTTATGATTTTTCTGTGGTTTGGGTTGATATTTTTGCTTGCTTGCCTCATTGTTCTTTTCTTTGTAGGTGTATCCCTATTTATAGGGTTTTTTCGAGTCCCCTTTCGGATCGATTAAAAGGCTGTACCCTGGTGAGTCACCAGAGCTACGGTGGTGACTCAGCCTAGGGATGGTGAGTTGTGCGGTGGAGAGACTGGGTGCATTAAATGCACCCAGATATTGTTTCTATCTGAGATGATATAGCATCATCGTGGCATGTACCGGTTGGAGAGTTCGTCAGCGGAGGCATCATCATCTCTATGGCGGCGTCGGAATAGCCCTAGGGTTTCAATGAGTATCCTAGGGTTTTGCTGGTTGCACTAGTGACCGTTGATTTGCTTCCTGATCCAACGATGGAAACAAGCTTGCAATTGGAGAGACATGCTTGAAACCCTAGCAGCACTTGGGTTTGCTCCTGGGTCTGTTGGGTTGTTCAGGTTAAGTCTAGGCCTGAACCGGGTCTGGATCTGTACCGGGTTTGGTTATAATCGGGCTTCGGGTTGTATTATTTATTTTGGCCTTCGAGTTGTAATTTGGGCTTCATATTTGGGCCTGTAAAATTGTAATAATTAATATAATAATACAAAATAATAATATATTATAATACTTATAACGAATCGGAACTCGAACGAAAATGACTGTCAAAAGCTGCCCCTCTTTGCTTATTTTTGTGTTAACAAGAATAAAGCAAAGATAAAAAGACAAGAAGTTTTCGTCCAATTAACTTCATATTTAATAAAAATTCGTTCCACAA